ATTTAGTCAGTCACAGAAGGACAAATATTGTATAAGTCCACTACTATAAGAACTCAAGAAAAGGTTTAAACAAAGAAGAAAACATTCTTTGATGGTTACGAGGGTTGGGAGGGAGGGTGAGGGTTATTTACTAACTAGATAGTAGGTAAGAATTATCTTATGTGAAGGGAAGGACGGCACTCACTACAGGGAAAGTCAGTACAACTGGACTAAACAAAAGCTAAGAGGTTTCTTCAATAAAATCAAACACTTTGAGAGGCAGAGTAGTAGGGGTCGGGGTCTGGGGACTATGCTTTCATGGGACATCTAGGTCAACTGGCATAACAAAGCTTATTAAGAAAATGTTCTGCATCCTACTTTGGTGAGTGGCGTCTTGGGTCTTAAAAGCTAGTGAGCGGCCATCTAAGATGCATCAATTGGTCCCAACCACCTGAAGTAAAGGAGGCTGAAGAACACCAAAGACACAACAAAAGTAGTAACCCAAGAGACAGAAAGGGCCACATAAACCAGAGACTTCATCAGCCTGAGACCAGAAGAACTAGACGGTGCCCAGCTACCACCAATAACCACCCTGACAGCGAACACAACAGAGAATCCCAGATGGAGCAGGAGAAAGGTGGAACGCAGAACTCAGATTCTAGTAAGAAGACCAGACTTAATGGTCTGACTGAGACTGGAGGTACCCCGGAAAGCATGGCCCTGGATTCTCTGTTAGCCCAGAAGTAAAACAATTTCCAAGGCCAACTCTTCAGACAGGGATTGGACTGGTCTGTGGGGCATAAAGTGATACTCATGAGGAGTGTGCCTCTTAGCTCAAGTAGATACAAGAGATTAAACAGGCAGCTTCTGTCCAGAGGTGAGATGGGAAGTCAGAGAGGGTTAGGAGCCAGCTGAATGGACATGGGGAATCAGGGGTGGAAAGGAGGAGTGTGCTGTCACAGTATGGGGAGAGCAATTAGAGTCACATAACAGTGTATGTATAAATTTTTGTATGGGAAAAAATAAAAAAAAGGAAGATGGAAGGAATACACAGAGTCATTCTACCAAAAAGAACTGGTCAACATTCAGCCACTCAGGATGATCGGGAACCGATGGCACTGAAGAAAGAAGTCCAAGCTGCATTGAAGGCACTGGCGAAAAACAAGGCTCCAGGAATTGATGGAATACCAATTGAGATGTTTCAACAAATGGATGCAGCGCTGGAAGTGCTTATTTGTCTATGCCAAATAATATGGAAGATAGCTACCTGGCCAACCAACTGGAAGAGATCCATATTTATGCCTATTCCAAAGAAATTATCTAACAATATCATTAATATCACACGCAAGCAAAATTTTGCTGAAGATCCTTCAAAAGTGGCTGCAGCAGTACACCGACAAGAAACTGCCAGAAATTCAAGCTGGATTCAGAAGAGGACATGGAACCAGGGATATCATCGCTGTTGTCAGATGGATCTTGGCTGAAAGTAGAGAATATCTGAAATATGTTAACCTCTCTTTTACTGACTATGCAAAGGCATTTGACTGTGTGGATCATAAAAAGTTATGGATAACATTTCGAAGAATGGGAATTCCAGAATACTTAATTGTGCTCATGAGGAACCTGTGCATAGATCAAGAGGCAGTTGTTCAAACAGAACAAGGGGATACTGCGTGGTTTAGAGTCAGGAAAGGTGTATGTCAGGATTGTATCATTTCACCATACTTATTCAGTCTGTATGCTGAGCAAATAATCCAAGAAACTGGACTATATGAAGAAGAATGTGGCATCAGGATTGGAAGAAGACTCATTAACAACCTGTGATATGCAGATGACACAACCTTGCTTGCTGAAAGTGAAGAGGACTTGAAGCACTTACTGTTGAAGATCAAAGACAGCCTGCAGTATGGATTACATCTCAGCATAAAGAAGACAAAAATCCTCACAACTGGGCCAATAAGCAACATTATGATAAACAGAGAAAAGACTGAAGTTGTCCAGGATTTCATTTTATTTAGATCCACAATCAACATCCATGGAAGCAGCAGTCAAGAAATCAAATGACGCATTGCATTGGGCAGATCTGCTACAGGAGACCTCTTTAAAGTGTTAAAAAACAAAGATGTCACCTTGCAGCCTAAGGTGCACCTGTTCCAAGCCATGGTGTTTTCAATCACCTCATAGGCATGCAAAAGCTGGGCAATGAATAAGGAAGACCAAAGAAGAATCAGTGCCTTTGAATTATGGTGTTGGTGAAGAATACTGAATATACCATGGACTGCCAAAAGGAACGAACAAATCTGTCTTGGAAGTACAGCCAGAATGTTCCTTAGAAGCCAGGATGGCGAGACTTTGTCTCACATACTTTGGGCATGTTATCAGGAGGGACTAGTCCCTGGAGAAGGACATTATGCTTGGTAATTAGAGGGTCAGCGAAAAAGAGGAAGACCATCAACGAGATAGGTTCACACCATGGCTGTAACAATGGGCTCAAGCATAACAACAATCATGAGGATGGTGCAGGACCGGGCAGTGTTTTGTTCTGTTATACATAGGGTCACTATGAGTCACAACTGACTCGATGGCACCTAACAACAACAGCATACTATTAAATCATCTCAAGTCACTCTTGTGAATTCTTCCCACCGTTTATAGTTCTACATAATACTGCGTCTGAGTATAACACCAGGACAGTAAACATTTATCAAAACCTATTAGATTCAAGACATTAATTAATTAATTAGTCTTTGGGATTATTTATTTGCAAGAAACAGAAACCCACAAAAAAAAAAGCTCAGAAAAAAGGAACTTTAATGTAGTGATAGAAGATATATTGAATATTGTTGAAAATTATTCAAGCTGGCCTCTTGCGAATTGGACAGTTATCAGAAATTTTATATCACTTTCTTTGGCTATCTTTCTTCCTCTCTCATTTTCCCCATCCCTCCAAAGACGACATCACTGCTTCTCTCCACTCAGAGAGAACCCCGCAACGTATCAACATTCTTCCCTTCAGGACCTTGGGTTCCCCATTTTCATTTGTCCAGCTTTCCTGTCCCCTCCTGCCTTCTTGTCCTTGCCCTTGGGCTGGTGTGCCCATTTAGTCTCATATACATGGGTGAACTACATGTGTTATTATTTGTTTTATGGGCCTGTCTAATCTTTGGCTGAAGGGTGAACCTCAGGAGTGACTTTAGTACTGAATTAAAAGGGCGTCCGGGCACAATACTCTTGGGGTTTCCCCAGTCTATGTCAGATCAGTAAGTCTGGTCTTTTTTTGTGAGTTTGTATTTTGTTCTACATTTTTCTCCAGCTCTGTCCAGGAGCAACTGTTTTGTTATATATAAAATGTACCACAAAAAAAAAAAAAAAAAAAAATTTAAGATACTAAAAAGACACCCTCTCAGTATAAAACAGATCATGAGACCAAAAAAGTAAAGGTAGAAAAGTCTCAAACAATAAAATCAATAAGGTAGGTTTTATAAATATATACATATATGAACAACAACAATAATTCGGTCATGAAGAAAACAGTAAATTCCGTAAGGTAAAAATATTCTAAACAACACTCTGAATGCATTGCAATAAACCTAGAAATTATTAACAAATTTTGAGAGTGCCTCTTAACTCGTAAGTAAAAGGGGAAATGAACTTATAGAATTTCTGGAAAAAAAAATTAAAAACACTATATGTCAAAATCTACTGGAAACATTTAAAGCAGTGAGGAAAACTCATAGCCCAAAACAAGTTTATCTATAAAAATAAAAGAATGGTGATTAATGAACTAAATTTCCAGCTCAATAAGCTAGAAAAAAACAACAAAGTAAACAAAAGAAAGCACTAGGAAAGAAAACACTAAAAATAAATGCAGAAATTAATAAGGTGGAGAATAGAAAACAGCAGACCTGATTAATAAATTAAAATCCTGGGGTTTTTAAAAAGTTTAACAAAATAGACAAACCACTAGCTAATGAACTTTTTTTTAATGGGGATAAATCACAAATATACAAAATAACAATTTATAAAGGAAAATAATATTAAACAGAGGAAATTCATAGAAGTCATAAGAGTCTATTTCGCAAATCTCTATCCACTCTACCCCTCTTCCCACTTCTGCCCCACATCTGGGCAAGCTGATAAGCCCAGGTGCTCCCTCTTTTGACACCAGCCAAACATGGAAACCCTCACCTCAGCCCTAACCTGTCCTGCTGTTAGCTGCCATAGAGTTAATTCCAATTCATCGCAACTCCATGTGTGTCAGAGTAGAACTGTGCTTCATGGGGTTTGACTGAATCCCAACTCATGGTAACCCCACGTGTGTCAGAGCAAAACTACGTTCCATAGGGTTTTCAAGGCTGTGATCTTTTGGAAGTAGATCGCCAGGCCTGTCTTCAGATGTGCCTCTGGGTCTGTCTGAACCACCAACATATTGGATAGTAATTGAGCACTTAACCATTTGTGCCACCCAGGGACAACTGTCCTACCCCTACCCACCATAAAAACCCCAAGCCAATCTCCTTTCCTGGCTCTTTGAAGCCATTTTTGGACCAGCTTGGGAGGCCTGCCCTGCTCTCCCCAGAAAGCCTCATTATGTTAGTAACAAACTTCTTCATACCCCCTTAGTGTGTGCGTGCGGCATGAGTCTCAACATCTGAACCAAATTTTGGGGTGGGGGTTTATCCTGTGACTACAGGATGACCACAACAGAAATCCTAGAGTAAATGGAGAATTTTCTAGGGAAACACAGTTTTAAAAATAGACCAAGTTGTCAGAGAACCACCCTACAGATAGGCATCAAGCCCAGATATTTTCACAAGGGAATTCTATCCAAGCATGAAACTCCAGATAGTCCACATGTTCCATACGTTGTTCCACAGCATTGAAAAATAAAGGGAAACTTAGTATATGACGAAGGTGGCATCTTAAATCATGGGGCAAAGATAAACTTTTCAATAAACAGTGCTGGTTCAGTTGGTTAGCCTTCTGGAAAGGATAAAATAAAATTTGTATCTTACACTCACATGCTCCATAAGAATACACAAGAACAAACTCCAAATGGATCAGGGGTCTAAACATAAAAAAGCAAAAAAGAAAGAAGAAAACACAAGTAAATTTCAGTATAACTCAGGTGTAGGGGAAAAGTTTTCTAACTATGACTCAAAATCCAGAGATAATTTTTTTTAATTTGACAAATTTCACCACATAAAAAATGGCGGAGGAGGGGTTTGTACATGGCAAGAAACACCATAACCAAAGTAAAAAGGCAACTAACAAACTTGTTTAAAAAAAAAAAAAAAAAAAAAAACTCTTAAAAATTGAATGAAAGCAAGACCAAAATCATAATAGAAAAATGAGTAAAAGATATGAACAGAAAATTCATAGTAAAAGATAGTTTAAAAATGACCGTTAAACATATGAAAAGATGTTCAACCTTACTCATAACTATAGAAATGCAAATTAAAATGCTACTGATATACTATCAGATTGGTGAAAATTAAAAACTATGACAGCACATTCTGTTGGTGAGGGTCTACGGAAACAGGCACTCTTGTACATTGCTGTTGGGATTGCAAACTGCTACAACATTTTTGGAGGGGAATTTGGCAATATCTGATTAATATACATATGCACTTAATTTGACCCAGCAATCCTAAACCAAAGAATTTACCCTGAAGATATACCTCCGATAATATGAATACATATATGCACTGCAGAATTGTTTGTTATCATAAAATATTGGAAACAACCTAAATGCTCTTACATAGAAGAATATTTTAATAAATTATGGTATATTTACAAAATGAAGTACAGGCAGCCTCCGGGTTATGAAAGTGCAATTAGGTAACAACCCGTAGTTACTAACCAAGCCTCGTAAACCCTATCTGGAAAAAACCGACTCGGTGTTTGGGCCCCCGGGTTCCCACAACAGGCCGTACTTCTCCCGCGCGCGCAGGTGCCACAGCGGGTCCTTGCTGCACCCAGCCGCGGCCCGCATTAGTGAGCAGAGTCACAGGCACCCACCTCCCATGGAACTCGGAAAGGGCCGATCCCGCCGCCCACGTGCCTCAAGCACCGCAGCTCCGCCCCGCAGGGCGGGCGTGCAGGTTAGATTCAATGGTACCTGCAGGTTAGATACAATCCTCTTTAACCAAGTGATTTACATACAAATTCCACTTAAAGATAGATTTAGGAATGGAACTCACTCGTAATCGAGGGACTGCCTGTGCTAGGAAACTATAAAAAAGAACAGGGATGATTTGCTAGAAATTGTTATCAAGTGATTTGCAGAAGATTTGTTAAAAAAGTGTCTGTGGAGTCACTGGACCAACACTCCAATTCCATATTTAAATATAATAAATTTATTGAAGGCATGAACTACGGGAGAGCATGCATTCAGCTTAGCAGTAACAACATGCTCTGCTTTACAGGCAAAACAAAGATATTTAAGAAGTAGAGTGAGTACAGATAACAATTTCACATGAAAGCAATGGCAGGAAAGGAGGTGAGATTTACAAGGGTGGCAATTAACTGAAGCTTTCTTTACATCAGTTTCTAGTCTAACACAAATCTCTCACACTTGATACATTTTAACTAGGGCAATAATTCTAAAATGAAAAGTATGAGCAATTTTGACATGGAAGTTTAGCTATATAGAAGTTAGTGATACAACTGCAGCTGGGCCAACTTAATTGGAATCTTTGGATACAGAACTGATCATTAGTCAGGAAAGTATATATAAGCTCTGCTTATTTAGCTGAGAGAAAAGAGATAATGCCTAGGCGCTTGCTGGGAAACTTCTTTAAGGCAGTTAAAACGTGTTTATCTACAAAACCAAAAGACCCATTACTGTCGAGTTGATTCCAATTTATAGCAACCCTAGAGGACAGGGTAGAAGGGCCCTATAGGGTTTACCAAGGAGCAGCTGATGGACTCAAACTACAGACCTTTTGGTTTGCAGCTCTAGCTCTTAACCACTACACCATTAGCGCTCCTTTTGTTTGTAGGCTCTAAGTAACAACTCAGTGAAGCTTTTTCTAAGGCCAGCTGCGGAACACTCTTAACGTAACAAACACAATTAAGCTTTGTTTTTCAAACGGAAACCTTAACAGAAGTGTTGTAGTGGTTATCAGGAGCCCTTGTAGTGCAGTGGTTGAGATAGGGCTGCTAACCGAAAGGTCTGCAGTTCCAATCTACCAAGTGCTTGTTGGAGACTCTATGGGACAGTTGGAAACTATGGCGCAGTTCTGCTCTGTCTTATTGGGTTGCTGTGAGTTGGAATCAACTTGACAGCAACGGGTTTAACAGCTATCAGGAGTGTAGAAGTAAAACTCTGAATGAAGGCTTAATCTTAATTCTGAAATCTCCCCAATTAGACCAACTGTCACCTTAAAATTTAAAAGTTCCTCACACAAAAGCAAAGTGTTGTATCTACAGAGAGGCCTAGACACATGAACATCCCAGCAGCAATGAGCATACCTAGTACCCAGAAACCAGAGATCCATAAAGAACCGGCTGACTCTAGAGCTGGAGCAGAAAAAGGACAATATGAACTTAGACCATCTTGCTGTGCCAGAATGTAAGGAAGTGACATGTCAGATGGACACAGGAGACCATCTGAGGCGGCCCCTACTGCCCAAATTTGGAACAATTTGAGCATCAAAATTAAAAATAATTAAAATGGTAATAGATTATAATCTATAGAATAAAATAAGAATCTGAGTCCATACTGATATAAATAAATGGAGGAAAATGAAAAATACTTTCTTATAGCAGAATGCCAACTAATAAATGTAAAAGGCCTGATGGAATTGGAAAACCACCATTTGGTGACCATCATAGTAATAACTGATCAGGCAAGAGTGATCAATGATTGCTAAAATTAGTAAATAAACTTTTGATAGGAAACAGGATACTGACATATTCTCAAAGTACCTCACCAAAAGATACTTATTAATGACAAAAGAGAAAACAGTAACTTTAGAGTGGCAAAACTAGGCAAATGCCTCCTTAACCAAGTGATCCAAGTTAATTAACATCATTGGTAATGAGACAAACAGACATCATGTTCCTTCTGATATGACACACTGCGAAAACAAAATCACTTTTGTAGTATTCTACCATCCCTGAATCTAATCATGAAGAAATATTAGATAAACTCTATAAAAGGAGAAAAAAATTTCAAGTATAATCATGACTCATACACAGATGTAAAATGGACATGTTAAAAGATTTTATTTATCTCATTAATTGATAAAAAGAACCATTAAGATGGTATAACCAGTTCAAAGGAGAATCCAAAGTAACAACCAAAACCCGTTGCCATCAAGTCTATCCTGACTCATAGCAACCCTATAGGACAGAGAAGAACTGACCATAGAGTTTCCAACGAGTAGCTGGTAGATTCAAACTGCCATCCTTTCGGTTAGCAGCCTGAACTCTTAACCACTGAGCCACCAGGACTCCAAAGTACAACCCACATACAGTTAGATAAAGAATGCTAAAGAATTTACAAATAGATAAGAAAACTGGTTAACTGCCACAATGAATTCCACAAGACACAATCTGCAATTTCTATGGACAAGACCATTTGCATTACTATCAGTTTTCAATAATCTACAGAGTTGTAAAATAGTTTAAATACAATGGAAGACCTTCTAGACATCTGGTTTTCCTTTGAAGATACCCAGTAATCTTTTGGTCCATTTCCAAGTTTTTCAAATTTTTCTTAAGACTCGAATTGAAGGCTATTCTATAAAATAACTGGTCTGCACTCCTCAAAAATGTCAAGGTCATGAAACACAAAGAAAGATTGAGGAGCTGTTCCACAGTAAAGAAGATTTAAAAGACAACAACTAAATGCAGTGTGTGTCTTGGATTGGATCAAAGTACATTAGTGGGATAATTGATGTATCCTGAGGTCTGTTGATTAGATAATACTGTTGAATCAATGTGAATTTCCTGATTTTGATCCTTGCACTCTGGTTCCCTAAGAGAATCTTTGTTTTTAGAAAACCCACTCAAGTATTTAAGGTTAGAGGCATCATGTCTTTAACTTAATCTCAAACTATTAAGGAAAAATATATATAACATATTGAGAGAGAATGATAAACCAACGTAGTAAAATGTTAACATTTGGGGAATCTGGGAGAGAGTATACAGTAATTTTTTTCACTATTATTTGACTTTTCCATAAATCTAAAATTACCTCAAAGTTGCCGTTTTTTAAATGAAGAAATATTACCTTATGCTTCACTAAGTTCTCTGCTTGTTAAGTTTCCTGGCCTTGAGGAATATAACAGTAAAGCAGAAGAAAAAGACAGGTTAAAAAAAAAAAATTACAATACAAAGTAATAAGTGGCCATGCCAAACAAATACAGTCCCTCTGCAGCACATAGAAAGGTCATTTAGCCCCTAGTTGGAAGAATGGGAGCCCTGGTGGTGCAGTGGTCAACAGCTCAGCGGCTAACCAAAAGGTTGGCAGTTCAAATCCACCAGCTGCTCCTTGGAAACCCTATAGGGCAGTTCTACTCTGTCCTATAGGGTCACTATGAGTTGGAATCGACTTGATGGCAGTAAGTTTTTTTTTTTTTTTGGTAGGAGAATGGGAGCCCTGGTGGCGCAGTGGTTAAGAGCTTAACTGCTGCTAACCCAAATGTTGGCAATTCAAATCCACCAGCAGCTCCTTGGAAACCTATGGGGCAGTTCTACTCTGTCCTATAGACTCGCTATGTGTTGGAATCGACTTGATGGCAACAGGTTAACAGATGGGAGAATGTGGGTAGTAAGATAAATGCAAAAGGGGGAAAGTGCATTAGAGACCATCGCCCATCTGTCAGTTTGTCCTACTGTGGTGATCTGCATTGTTGCCGTGATGCTGGAAGCTATGCCACTGGTATTTCAAATACCAGCAGTCACCCATGGTAGGCACGTTTTAGCAGAATTTATAGATTAAAACAGACTAGGAAGAAAGGCCTAGCAATCTACTTCTGAAAATTAGATAATGAAAATCCTATGGATTATAACAGGATAATATAGTTGTGTGAGATGAGCCCCCCTAGGTTGGAAAGCACTCAAAATACACAGTAGCCGCAACGATTGAATTGAGCACACCAATGATCTTGAAGATGGCACAGGACCAGGCAACATTTTGTTCTGTTGTACATGGGGTTACCACGAGCCTGGGCTGACTTGATAGCAACTAACAGCCACAACAACACATTAGAGAAGGCTACCTGAAGAGGCAATAGTTTGGCTGAATTGTAAAGGATGATGTCAAAGTGGGGTGAAAATGCTCAGCTTGTTGCATTCAGAAAACTACTAGTAATTAGATGAAAAAAGGGGGTGAGGAGCCTGGGAGGTAATCAAACCCCACATCTTAAAGGATCTTATATACCATATGGAGGAACCTGGCCTTTAACACATAGGCAATGGATGTGTTTAAGGATGGAATGATATCATCAATTTTGCATTTGATAAAGTTCACTGAGAAGAGTATGGGAGATAGGTTGTAGGTAAGCAAAGCAAAAACAAAGAACTCTTACAGGAGGCTATTATAGTACACCTAGAGAGAAATGCTGAGGATATGTTCGTGGTGGAGACAAACAAAGGTTAAAATTAAGGTAAATTAAGAAAGGCAAATCAACAGGAATTAGCAGCCAATTAAACGTAGGAAAGAAGGAGAAGAATATGATAACTCCTAGTTTTCTGGCTTAGATACTCTGCTAGCCTCTATAGGGGTTAATGTTGTTTCTGCCTATGAAAATCATATACAGATGAAAAATCTAGATTCTGCTGAACTTGAACCCTTATTGATAAGCTTTTATAAGCTCTACAAATACAAAGTGAAATGCCAAGAGTTAGAATGAGTTTCCTAGAATGTGTTTTAATAAAACGATTTTTAGTTATCAAACTTTGTGTCATTTTCCCAGACTACTTCAAGAAGGTAGCGTATTCATGATAGCTGCTCCTTATCTTTGAAATTCAAATGCATGGAGGCTATAAAAGGAAACAACGAAAGCATTTTTCTTTAAGAAAATAAAGAACCAAAATGTACAGTGCTTTTTCTAAACTTCGTAACTAATTGTCTAATAATGAAGCAATTTGACTATAATTTGGGAAGTAGCTATACTTTTACCACTCTGGGCTGGTCACCGGGAAAACTTCACCTCTTAAAATGAAGTTTTTGTAAGTATATACCCAAAAAAGAGTATAATGAACATTTTCAATATGAAAATAAAGGTGCCTACAAAGATCACATTGTTAAAGGGGGAACTGGCCAAAGTACTTCTTAGTGCAAATTGCTGATTCTGGTGCTCTGAATGCAATTTTGACTTAAAATCTTTTTTTTTTTCTGCTAACAGCAGCATTAATAACAGAACTTGAGAAACAAATTAATGACTTCAGTGAATGAAATGGATTTTACTAAGGACTGATTCTCAGAACACCCAACAATGACCATGTAGCTCACTGTGAGTATCAATGAATTAAAATTTCAGGAAAGAAGATATGTATTTTCAATCTGACATTATGACCCTTGGCAAGTCTCCTATTTTGTCTGTTTTCTCTGCAATATCAGGACATCCAGCATGAAATTACAGAAAAGATTAATTTTTAATACTAATTTAAGATTAATTGGTCATTTATATGTATTTTTATTGTAATACGTATGAGTTGCTGTTTTATGCCTCACTTTTATCATCTGCAAATTGAGGATAATCAACATAATTCATGGCAAAGGATTGTTGTGAGGATTAACTAGGTATTCAATAATTATCAGTTATTAATATTATTACTGTTATATTTGAGAATTTAATATATGTTAAAAATGACATTTCAAAGTACAAATGTAATTGCCACTGGGGGGAAAGGTGTATTTGAATATTATTTTGCTCTTTTCACTACAATAAATTACTCCTAGATCAGAAATTCAAATGTAAAAACAAAACCATAACTATACCAAAGATCTTGGAAAATAAAATCATAATAGTGAAAATAAAAATAGTAGATACATTTAAAAGTATAATGAAAAAAAGTTGAAGAGCCAATTAATGAGTAGGAAGAACAAGCTCAATCCATCGGGAAGATATAAAAATTCTAAACATATATGCACCTAACAACAGAGCACCAAAATATATGAAGTAAAAACTGACACAATTAAAGAGAAAAAGAGACAATTCAACAATAATAGTTGGAAACTCCACATTCAGTAATATATAGAACAACTAAACCAAAGATTAACAAGGATATGGAAGATGTGAACAACACTGTAAACTAACTAGACCTAACAGTCATCTAAAGAACACTCTACCCAACAACAGCAGAATATGCATTCTTCTCAAGGGCACATGGAACATTCTGCAGGAAAGGCTATATGCTAATCCATAAAACAAACCTCAAAACATTTAAAAGGTCTGAATTAATACAAAGTATGTTCTCCATATACAATGGCATTAAATTAGAAATCAATAACGGGAAGAAATTTGGGAAAATCACAAATATGTGGGTATTAAACAACAGACTTGTAAATAACCAATTCATCAATGAAATCACAAGGAAAATTATAAAATACTTTGAGTTGAGTGAAAATAAAGACATAAGAGCAAAAATTTATTACAGTGACTAAATCAATTAAGCCATAAATGCCTACATTTCAAAAAAGATCTCAAATCAATAACTTAACCTTCCACATTAATACACGGGCAGAAATAAGAGCAAACTAAACCTAAAGGAAATAACAAAACAAAAAACAAACTCGCTGGTGTCAAATGGACTCCAACTCATAGCAACCCTATAGGACAGAGTAGAACTGCCCCGTAGGGTTTCCAAGGAATGGCCGGTGGATTCACACTGCTGACCTTTTGGTTAGCAGCTGAGCTCTTAACCACTGCACCACAGGGCTCCAAAGGAAATAGAAGGAAGGAAAGGAAATAGAAAGAAGGAAATAATAAAGATTAGAGCAGACATTAATGAAAATAGAGAAGAAAAAAACAATGCAACCATGAGTTGGTTATTTGATTAGGTCAACAAAATTCACAAACTTTTAGCTAGACGGACCATGACAAAAAGAAAGGAGACTCAAATTACTAGAATCAGAAATGAAAGAAGGAATATTACTACTGACCTTACAGAAATAAAAAGGATTATGAAGGACTACTATTAACAACTGTATGCCAATAAGTTAGATAATATAAATGAAATGGAAAAATTCCTAGAAAGACACAAGCCACCAAAACTGACTCAGGCAGAAATAGAAAATCTGAATAGACCTATAAGAAGTAAGCAGATTGAATTAGCTATTAAAAAAAAGAACTACCCAAGAAAAAAGCCCAAGCCAAGACAGCTTCACAGGTGAATTCTAACATATGTTTAAAGAATTAATACCAGTTCTTCACAAACTCTTCCATAATATGGAATAGGAGGGAACACTTCCCAATTCACTTTATGAAGTCAGTTTTACCCTGTTATCAAAACTAAAGACATCACAAGAAAAAAACACTACAGATATTCCTTATGTATATAGATGCAAAAATCCTCAACAAAAATACTAGCAAACCAAATCCAGCAACATATAAAAAGAATTATATACAGATAAATATGCTTTATAAATAAAACCAAACCAAACTCATTGCCATCGAGTCAATTCCGGCTCATAGCAACCCTATAGGACCGAGTAGAACTGCCCCATAGGGTTTACAATGGACAGCTGGTGGATTTGAACTGCCAACCTTTTGGTTGGCAGCCAAGCTCACAACCCCTGCGCCACCAGGGCTCCACCTTAAGAATATAAATGGAAAAATCCTCACTTCATAGATAAAAACAACATAAATCTAATCCCTTAAATGTCCTGCACCATCCCCATGATTGGTTGTGGATCAGACCCTTGTGGTCCATAAGGTTTTCATTGGCTGATTTTGGAAACAGATCACTAGGCCCTTCTTCCTAGTCTGTCTTAGTCTGGAAGCTCCGCTGGAATCTGCTCAGCATCATAATAACACATAAGCCTCTATTGACAGATGAATGGTGACTGTGCATGAGGTACATTGCCTGGGAATGGAAAACAGTCTCCTGCAGAGAAGGTGAGAATTCTACCACTGAACCACCATTGCCTCCATCACTAACCCTCCTAAAACAAATACATGGCTCAAAAAGATTTCTGCAAACAAAACTAATACTTATGGAGAGTCCGGCAAGATGGCGCTCTAGGCAGAAGCACCATGCCGTCCCTCCACAACAAAGATCCAAAAAACTAAGCCAAACAGAGAATCAACAATCCTGAAACCCTA